ATTTAACGCAAAACTGACCAATATCATTGACGCCATTGCGCCCGTGAAAGTAAACAAAACTCAAGATACATCATGATATTTACAAAGAAAAACTATTCACCGACGGTCTTGAACTGAAGAAAGCTAGACAATCATTTTTCTCTGATCTTATCAACAAAATATATTAATAACTCTCGTTTATTATTTTCTACTGTTGATAAGTTAACTAACCCCAGAATGGAAATAGCCCCATAACTAATCTCCACTCAGAAATGTAATGAGTTTGCTTTGTTCTTCACAGAAAATATCTTAAAGATCAGGCAAGATATCAATTCCTCAATTCCGAGGCTTGACCCTATGTTCCCGTTCCAAGGACAAAAAATTAACCAAGCAAACATGTCAGAGTTTGTTCCAGTCAGCCATAAAACACTAGAAGACGTTATATTCCATCTAAAACAACTACATGTAGTCTTGATAGTCTTCCGACAAACTTTTTTTAAAGTGTCTATTGCTATATTGCCTCAGATGTACTGCAGATTGTGAACATGTCACTCCATTCAGGTGACTTCACCAAGGGCTTGAAAACTGCAGTTATTAAGCCACTGCTAAAAAAGAACACCCTCGATACACTGACAATCAGTAATTACAGGCCAATTTCAAATGTACAATTTTTAAGCAAAATAATTGAAAAGGTTGTCTACCTACAACTTAACAGTTTTTTGACCTCCAATAACATTTTAGACACCTTCCAATCTGGTTTTAGGTATCGTCATAGCACAGAGACGGTTTTATTAAAGATTTTAAATGACATTCATTGTAATACCGACTGTGGGAAATCCACAGTTTTAGTTCTATTGGACCTCAGTGCGGTGTTTGACACCGTTGATCACAATATTTTAATAGAAAGACTAGAGAAATGTGTGGGTCTGTCTGGCACTGTCCTAAAATGGTTTAAATCCTATGTTGAAAACCGAGAGTACTTTGTTTCAATTGGTACATCGGACAGAACCAAAATGACATGTGGAGTTCCCCAGGGGTCGATCCTCGGGCCTCTTCTATTCAATTTGTACATGCTGCCACTTGCTCAAATAATTAGAAATAACAACATTTCATATCATAATTACGCGGATGACACCCAAATCTACATATCACTTTCCATAGATGAATACGGTCCTACTGATTTATTGATCACATGTCAAACAAATACATGACTGGATGTGCCGTAATTTCTTACAGCTCAACACAAAAAAAACAGTTTTTGGAGTAATTGTTTTTGGAACCAAAGAAGAGAGAATTAAAGTCACTGCACACCTGGAATCACTATTACTCAAACCGAAAAGTCAAGCAAGAAACTTAGGTATAATTTTAGACTCCGACCTCAATTTCAACAGCCATATCAGGGCAATCAACAGATCAGCCTACTACCATCTAAAAAATATCTCGCGTATTTTTTATTTTTTTTTATTTAGCCTTTATTTATACAGGTTTAAAATCTCATTGAGACACAAGGTCTCATTTCCAAGAGAGACCTGTCAGTGGTAACACTACCACACAAAGTTACAGACAGACAGGACACCAAACACAGAGGCAACAACAAAATACAACATCGTAAAAAAAGCAGTCACCGAAATCCACACAGCAGTCAGTTAAAGCAGGTGCAAACACCCACAGATGATTTCTCCAGCTTTTTTAAAATTAGTTTAAAATCCATGATGGGTATCAAACTGGTCAGCTTAAGTTCCTGCTGAAGTGTGTTCCAGGTCGAGGGGGCAGAGTATGATATGACTTTTTTTCCAAGCACCGTGCGAACTGAGGGGACGTCAGTGATGTCATTTTGAGATCGTAGGCTATAGCTGTACTGTTTGTGTGATATGTAAGTGGATATGTAGAGGGGCAGCAGTCCAAGCATAGCGGTATAGATGAATTTGTACCAGTGCAGTGATCTGCGCATTGATAATGATGTCCAGTTGACTAAAGAGTACAGCGTGCAATGGTGTGAAGTGAGTGAGCTGAGGCGTTCATGTACACAACATCCCCGTAGTCCAAGAGCGGCAAAAATGTGGCAGCTACAAGCCGTTTCCTCGCACTTGTGGAGAAGCAGGCCTTATTTCTAAAAAAGAATCCCAGTTTTAATTTCAATTTCCTTAAGAGATTGTCAATATGCTGTTTGAAGCAGAGATTTTCATCTATAGTGATGCCTAAGTATCTGTAGGTGTTAACAGCTTCAATGGGGTTATGCTGTGCAGACATGATGCAGGGAAGAACAGTTGGTAACCTTTTCTTATTGGAAAACAACATGACTTTTGTCTTATCTGAGTTTAACACCAACCTAAGGTGGAACAGATGTGACTGAAAAGTGTCAGTCACAAGTGTCAAGTGCAGACGTTCAAATGCAAGGGCAACAGTGCTAGCACAACAGTACACAACAGTATCATCTGCATATAGATGTACAGAGGCATCAATACTTTGACCCACATCATTTATATAAATAGTAAAAAGGGTCGGTCCCAAGACCGAACCTTGAGGAACACCTCTGGGCACATTAAGAAAGCTTGAGGAGAGACCGCTGAATTTTACACATTGCTTGCGATTCGAAAGGTAGTTTTCAAACCAACCAACAGCTTGGTCAGACAGGCCTATATGAGATAACTTCTGGCATAGAATGCCATGGTCCACAGTATCAAATGCCTTGGATAAGTCTATAAAAAGGGCAGCACAGTAGCTCTTTGCGTCCAAGCTTTCGACAATGTCATTCACTACTTTCAAAGCAGCTGTTACTGTACTGTGCTGCTTCCTAAAGCCTGACTGGTGAGGAGATAGAATGTTGTTCAAGCTTAAATATTCTTTGATTTGATCATTCACCAGCCTTTCAAGTACCTTAGCTAAAATAGAGAGCTTGGAAATTGGTCTGTAATTATTCATCACCATGGGATCACCACCTTTCAATAAGGGGAGAACATTTGCAGTTTTCCAAACATCTGGAATGACATTGTTTGTTATAGAAAGATTAAAAACATGACACAGTGGTTTGGCTAAAATATCTGCAGCTAGCCGTAAGAAATAAGGGGGGAGATCGTCCGGGCCTGCTGATTTTTTGGGGTCTAGGCCCTTTAGAGCCTTACAAACCTCCCCAACATTGAAGGGGTTGAAGGAGAAAGTATTAAAGACCTTATGTCCAAGCAAGACCTTGAAAAACTTGCCCATGCATTTGTCTTTAGCAAGCTTGACTACTGCAACAGCATCTTCACAGGCCTCACAAAAAAATCACTCCGTAAACTCCAACTAATTCAAAATGCTGCTGCCAGAGTCTTAACCCGGACAAAGAAAACAGATCACATCACTCCAGTGCTGAGATCGCTGCATTGGCTTCCAGTAAGTGAGATAATTGATTTTAAGATTTTATTGCACACATATAACGCACTAAACGGGCTAGGACCCAAATATATCAAGGACCTCCTTCAGCGGTACGAACCCAGCAGACCCCTGAAGTCTTCAGGCGCAGGCCAGCTCACTGTTCCATTTGTGAGATCAAAGCGTGGGAAAGCAGCCTTCTGCATCTATGCTCCTAATGCATGGAACAAACTCCCAGAACATCTGAGAATGGCTAGCACTTTAGAATCATTTAAATCAGGTCTAAAAACATTTCTTTTTAACATGGCTTTTTAAATTTAAATTTTCTAATTTTCGAACTGTTAAACATGGTTTTCTTTCTTTTAATTGTTTTGTGTGTTTTTGTATTTCTTCTCACTTTGACCATCGTAAAAATGTATTGTGTTTTAAAGCACTTTGAATTGCATCACTGTATGAATTGTGCTATACAAATAAATTGCCTTGCCTTGCCTTGCCCTTACAACACAACATTTGTCAGCCCTCACTACTCTGCATGCTGTCACCCCTTGTGGATTTAAAGAATGTATTGGCTAAAAGACTACGAGCAGGATATCATTAGAAAATGTGTCAATTTGAAGAATAAATATAATTTCTAAGAGCATAATGAGGAAATATGAAGTTTAATAGATAGAGAAAAATAGATGTTTGCCTGAGAGTTTGATGTCTTCTATTTGAGAGCCTTTTTATGTTAATGGATGTTTGTTTCTTTGAAAGGAGAACTAGAGTCTCTCAGAGTGTTAGTTTAAAAGTCACTCTCAGAAGGTCTACGACTTTTCTCCTTCATTGACACGGCAGTTCACACTGAAGTCTTAGGATTTATAATGCTTGACATTGTCCTAAATAAAGGGATGGATATTGTAAGAAAAAATGGCCATACTAGTTGCAATTCGATACCTTATTAATGATCTTACGATATCTTATTACCCTACAAGAGCTGCACTATATATTTGTGAGGTGCAGTGATGACTTTTGTAGGACAACCCGGAAGTAAGAATCGCAAAGGCTCCCATCACCAAAAGCAATGGGACTTTGGATTTCGGTATATTGCTGAAAATACGATCTGAACCCAACACACATTTATGATATTTAAACGTTTTTTGTCAGCGGGATAATCTCTAAATATTATTACCACTTTGTGATTTTCAAAGGGTAACTGCAATCGGCAGAAGTAAAAAGCTGATGTTAGGCCATAAACAACACCTCCCGCAAAGCTAAAGGTGACTCTCGTATGCCTAAGGACGTTTTAGTGGTTTATTAGGTCAATTGTTAGCAACCACCGCCTTTATGACATAGACGCTTTGCTAACATGTTAACCCTCACTTTAGAAAGTGATAATATGTCAGTGTTGTGTTTACTGGCTGTTGCACTGCCCCCCTACTGGTACAAATACATTTATGCAGGTTTTATAAACATGATTTTCAAAAAATTTACTTTGTAAACCTTTGTATGTGTTCTTATACACTGGCAGCTGTACAAGACCTTTGAGTGAAAAATAATTGAAAAAGAAACCCCCCAAAACTAAGGAACTGACCAAAAAGTACTTTGCTTTTTCAGAGTTCATAGTGTGACACTAACTAACTAACTATCATTACGGAAGACAGTGAACATTCAGTGGAACAGCAAGTACAAACCTTGTGTTGGACTCTCCCTGCTCCTTCCTGGAGTTGACAGACAAGGAAAAAAACAATACGTCAGAAATCATCTTTTCATAATACATAATTGCCCATTGTGCTTAAAGAACCAGTGGTTTTGCATGTTTTAGCCCATTTATTACGCATCACAAAGCTGTGTTTTAGAAATGTGAATGCATTTTCTCTTTTTGCTTTCAAATGATTTTTGTACTATAAAAATCTATTTGCAGACTCTTGACACGTAATCAGGTAATGTAGCTGTGAACATCCAGTATGTATTAGTTTGTTAAAAGTATTTTTATGAGTAGAGGTTACATTGGGGCATTTGGGCAGACAACCACCTGCTGCCAATAGAAAGTGTGGTTTTACTGCTACTGCTACTGAAACTTCAACACATTTATATAATTCTGGATTAAATATTGTATTATTCTAAAGTTCAAGTTAAGTGGGACATATATAATATTATGGTATAGTTTCAAGAGGCAGATATGTAGGAATAGCCCAACACTCGACACAAAGTGCCCTGCGTGTGGGAAAATAACAATCCGGATGCCCATCGTTTTTAACAATGAAAGTCACACATGTTTGCCAGGTTTTATTTTCATAATTAGCTCAAAGTTGTCTAAGGTCAGTGTTTAAAAAAAAGGGTTGGTAAAAGTGGTCAGCATGAACAAATGACAAAGTCTGTCTTTGGAAGAAAAACTTGCCATTAAACGCCCCGTTACCCACCAGCCTCGGGATATGGTTATGATTTGATGTTCACTGCAATGGATTACACAACTCAGGATGTTTGAAGAGTCTGCTGCGTTTCAGTGACAAGACATGTCATTGATTGGTATACCATAGCCTACAAACATTGATATCAATCAAAGAATGCCTGGAACTGTATGTTAGAAAGTAAGCTATAGCCTACATTCAAAGATGTTGGGCAAAAAATGTAAGTTTGCGTGAAGAGCTAAAACCTGCATAAACAGTGGTATGGTGGCTATGATAGAAATACTTTTGCATTCAAGGCTTTGTCAGCAGCTACAAGATTGTAGGGTAGCAACACACCAATCGATAACAAGCATTCAGTGGGAAATAGACCTTAGCAGACAGCAGGCTCACTAAAAACACATGCGGGTCGATGCAGAGTCTCCAGACAAACTAAAGAAGCACTTGCAGCTTATTAACGTTAAGCAGTGTCTTTGTAATCAGAGTTAGATACATACAGTTAGATGAGCATTAGCTAACATTTAGCAATCTGGTCAGAGCCATGGATTTCTATTAAGGTGGTTATAAATGACATTTTAACAGAAACTCTTAACAATTCTGCCATCTAGTGTATAGTACAATTAAATGGAAAAATGTAGGGAAAAGTGCTCTGCTCTTAACCTGTGACAACAGAAGGAATTCCCTTTCCTCCCCCCGTGCACATAGCATGTTTTTTTATATATAGTAAACCCCACTGTGTCTTTGATATGTTTGCTACCACATCCAATGAAACCAGCACTGCATCTCTAAATTACTCTAAATTACTCAGGGCACCAGTGGAAGGGTGTACAATTTAAAGCTACTGAAGTGCTGCAGATTCAAAAAGCTTTATGGCTCATCAAGGACAAAATTGCTGTCCTACACCGAAAGATAATGCTGACATTTCTGCCTCAGACCTTTAAAGTGACACCCGTTAAAGTCCCATTGGGCGCTCAACTGACTAAGGTCTAATACAGGGAGTCTGAAAAGCTTCATTTTTTTGATGGCAGTAAAATAATTGATATCATATTATCTTATCTAGAAATGTCTTAGAAGTCAGCGCTTTTAATTTAATTCAAGCAATCGGAGCCAGGATACTTTTTGGTGGCTGTCAACCAATATCACATTAGAAAAGGAAATTGAGAAAATCAATGCATTTCTACAAGAAAGGGTGCATCATTGATACAATATATAGATAATATGGAGTGGAAAGCCTTAGAATATTACTAAAATTGTACAGATTTGAAGAGTAGAAAACCAGCTGCCACAGGTGTACCTACTTCGTAGGGCTGCAGGTGTGCAACGCCTTCAAGTGAGGCTTCCACGTAGCAATGGAAACCGAGTTCTCATCAGCCGAATAACTACGCCAAACACACTGCATGCAGAATACACACAACCAAGAGGGAGGAAAAAGTACAAGGAGATAAATGGAATATATGAGATGATTAGAACAAAAACACAGCAGAGTCAGAAGGGAGAGGGAGAAGAGGATGAGGAGGGAAGACAACAAATGAAAAAGCTGATTAGTGATAATCCAAAAAACAAGTTACAAGGGGCTACAAGTGCTTTTTATCCACAGAGGAAAAATAGAAACTGGAAAACAATTACATCATTTAAACACATTTTATATTTGGCAGACATTGTGTATGATTTAGATAAACTGTTAATGTTATGATTAAAATGTTGTCCAGCCCTGAAACAGATATGTGTGTGTGGCGTACCTGGATGAGGTAGGCGGCGGGGTTTCTTCTCTTCTCAAAGTGCTTCTGTCTGTGCTGCTCCTGGACCTTCAGGGCAAAGCCTGAGCCCAGAATACCCTGGTGGGATATTGACAGGATTAAATATGAGATGCATGTGAACACCAAAGACTCTCAAGTACTACAGAGCTGCTGAGCATGAGAACATCCATCATGGCTCCAGGAAAAACTACAGGCTGTCCTATTCCCCAAGGGACTAGTATGACCTGTGGACTAATGATAATTTGTAAAATATGTGGAGGATGTCTTTGATTCTAGTCCTGTGCGATTCTGCCATATTTGTAATTCTAACACAGATTACCTAACATATCTCACCAAATACAGAGGTCATGTGATAATATTGGTGTGAATAATTATATTTTTAATCTGCTTTTTTTGTTTCCTCTGCACATTAATTCTGCCTCTTAACCTGGTAGAAAATCATGGAAGCTGCGTTGTAAATAATAAATAAAAGTTAAGAAAGCATTTTGGGATAAAGTCTAGAAAGTTAGTGAAAAGCATGCAGACCCAGTGGCAGGGACACCAGAGTAAAAGGGCTTAGTGAATATTATATTAATATAAATAAATATATGAATAATATTAAATATAAATAAGATATTGTATAACAGACTTTAATGATCCAATGCAAATGCGTTGCAAAAAAATCACAGACATAGGACCCCTTTTTTTTCTTAAAATACTTGTAATTTTAGGCAAGTTTATTTGAGGGATAATATGTATTTTCTCCAAAGAAATAGGAGAATAATTAATACCTCTATCTAGGTGAGATTGGATGGCATTGTTTAGTACAGCCCAGCGTAAGACCCTTGATTTTCTTATATTAAGTGAACATGGATTCATTGCCCGCAAGGCAAATAGCTTAGCTAGCAATAAGACTGGAAACAGGAAACAGCTAGCCTGGCTGCGTCCAGAGTTAATAAACACCTACCAAAAACGCATATTAATTAAACATACATATATGTGTTAACTTTTAGGCTTAAGAAGTAATGCTAGTCGGACTTCCGCCGGACAGCTGAGCAGCATGGTCGCTTGAACAGTGAGCTCCCTTATGCCAACAGAATAAACTCCGCCTAACTCAAAAATTAAAACATATAAAACATCCTGGACAGTTGATAATGAGCGGAGGGTCAACAAAAGCAAGAAATAAGAAAAGTGTGACCGTCAATGTAAAGAAAAAACTAACATTAACAAAGAAAATGTCAGGCTAACGGCAGAAGCTAGCACAGCAATGGCTAAACCACAAGCTAATCTGGACAGCATTAGCAAGCAAATCGAAGCCATGCAAAGCGAGCTGAAAACCGACTTGACCATCTTTAAGGAGGACATCGCCACTCAAATAAAAAACGAGCTGACAGAATTCAAAGAAGACATTAACCAGAAACTGGTAAAAATACACACAGAAGTTGGACAGCAACAGGATAAAAATAGACGCCGTTATGAATCGCACTGAGGAGTTTGAGCTCTGGAGTACCGAGGCAAAAAGCGATATGCAGGAAATAATAAAAGAACACAAGTTTATGACTGAAAAGCTGGATGATTTGGAATTGAGATCCAGACGGAACAATTTGAGAATATACGGCATACCAGAAGATGCAGAGCTGAAAAGTGACACGGTGGCGATGTTTGTGGATAAATGGCTGCGGGACGAGCTGTCAATAGAAACAGATCTCCAAATTCAACCAGCCCACAGAGCCCTGGCACCGAAACCAAAATCGGGACAACCTCCGAGGTTGATCATCCTGAACTTTCTGCAGTTCCATGTAAAAGAGATGGTCTTGAAGAGGGCTTGGGAAAAGAAAACTGTCAAACTCAGAGACAATAGGATATATTTAGAGCACGACTACACCGCGAGGATACTGCTCCAACGCAAGGCATACGCGGGCGTTAAGAAGATCTTGAAGGGAGAAGGCATCCGCTTTCAGACACCTCTCAATAAGATGCGTATTCACTGGGCTAATGGAATGAAGACATATAATAGCGCAGAGGAAGCAGCCAGCGATATGCGGGGAGGAGGGTATGGAGTAGAAGACACCACCGCTACTAAGGGCTCCGCTGGCCGCGGCGGGCTGAAGTCCACGGGGATCGAGACTTGGTTGGTTTTATCCTACTACTAGCTGGGGGCCCTTATGGAAGACTTTCCACCTCAGAACAAGAGGTGAGACAACATCTGAGGGTTGTTGACACCAGTGCTTGAATTGGGCCGGTACTCACCGGTACGCAGTACCGGGACTTCTGATTTTTACCCATCTGGTACCGTTACTTCTTACTGAGTACCGGCACGGTGCCGGTACGGCGGTACTCAGTAGATGCGTCATGAGGTGCCGCCGCCGCTTTGCCTGCCTCGCCCCGGGAGCAGCAGTCTTTGTCCAAACACCGCCACCCCTCGGCGGCCCGCAAGTGCCAGAGGACCTCGGCAAAACAGAGCCTGCCCAGGTATATTTAAACAAGTTCCCAACTCGCCTGTACAGTGGGTAAGGCGCTAATATTGCAGCTCATGGTTTAAAAACAGAGATTGGCTGGAATTTCCTGTAAAAAAGATGCCATCTTCTGCTATGCCTGTAGAGTAGACATTTCGGTTCAAATACATCTAACTCAGATGCCTTCACCACAATTGTACCAGAGTACCAAACGCTGTCTCCTGGTACTCATCTCAAACTGTGAAGTCCACTGAGACAAATGTAACATTTGTGATATTGGGCTATATAAATAAACATTGATTGATTGATTGATTGATTGATTGATTGATTGATTGATTGATCTGAGTAACTCACTAAAAATGAAATACTACAGTATATGACAGTAAAACAAGAATAGAGTTTAAAAGGGGAGTGATTTGTAAAATATCCATAAAGAAATAGAAAATCTGTTTACAGTTCTGTTTCATATGGATGTTGAGAGAGGTATCCATAAATCTCTTAATTTTGCTCTCAAAGTGCACCAGATTGATGCTTTTCACTTCAATATTTAAAAAAAATCTTGTGTTAGATCCACTCCCCACTTATAAAAATAGCACTTTACCCCTGCACCCCCTCTAATCTCAGATGCACCCTGAGTCATTTTCTTTAAGTACAGTGAGCCTTTCTAAAATATACAGTAAAGAGACAAACCCACCAGCATTATAGGATATACTATGACTTTGAGCCAAACTCTTGTTTTTGGGCTGTATAAATAAATTGACTTGAAACAGTTGCTGATTTAGAGTACTGGCACCTTTTTTATTCCAATTCAAGCACTGGTTGACACCTCTATTTGGAGGTTGCCTTTTCTGTATATAGTTACGTTTAGAAATGTTTTTTTGTTTACAATATTTTTAAGTGCCTATAGTTATATCACTGTTAACCTGAGTTGGAGACACTACAAAGTGACTGAACCAAAATCAACCTACAGTATGACTAACAAACAAGACGGAATTAAGCTTATGTCCCTTAACGTTAATGGTTTGGGAAACCCGATAAAAAGAGCAAAATTATAACGAAAATCAAAAAAGAAAAGTCACAGATTACTTTCCTACAAGAAACCCACCTTTCACAGACGGAACATGAACAATTAAAAAAATGTGGATTCAAAAACACCTTTTATAGCTCCCACTCTAACGCACGTAGAAGAGGAGTAGCTATTTTAATTTCTAATGCAGTCAAATTTGAGTACCAAAAAGAAATAAAAGATAGAGAGGGATGATATATTATTGTGAAAGGGACAATTGACAAAACTAAAGTAACATTGGTGAACATATATGCACCACCTGAGAGTGATAAGTATTTCTTTGGGGCCTTGCTTGATCTGATTGCAGTAGAAACAGAGGGAATATGTATTAGTGGGGGAGATCTCAATTTGATAATGGATTATGAGTCTAGGAAAAGGGTTAGAATATTAAAGTTAGAAATAGGTAAAGTTCAAAATGAACGTATAACAGCAAAGATAACTATAGATGAAATCCATAAGGCAATTGGAAAACTGAAAACAAACAAAGCTCCAGGTAGTGATGGATTCCCATCTGAGTGGTACAAAAAACTAGAAAAAGAACTGTCTCCACTGCTACTAGGTGCCTTTAATTGGATCATGTCAAAAGAGGATACTCTCCCCTCATGGAAAGAAGCAATTATTACAGTTATCCCAAAACCATTAAGAGATAAAGAATTTTGCCAAAATGTAATATAGACCAATCTCAATTCTTAATGTTGATTACAAGCTCTACACTACGATACTTTCAAACAGGCTACAAACAATAGTACCAGACCTCATAGATGAGGACCAAACGGGCTTTGTTTCAGGTAGACAGACGCATGATAATATCAGAAGAACGTTACACATCATACATTAGGGCTGTGCGATTATGGCAAAAATCATAATCACGATCATTTCTGGTGAATATTGATATCACGATTATTAAATACGATTATTCATTGACTTTGAAAACATCAATTTATTGAACTTTAAAACAAGTTAAAATAATAAATTGAACAGTATGTTTTTAACAGTTGAATACCCTGAACTTTAAGTATAATTCAACTGAAAAACCAATACAAAAATTAAATTATACATTTATATCTACATTTAAATAAATAATATCAAAATAATAAATACTGTAGCGACCCAGTGTAGGGTGCTGTGTGGGTCACTCAAGCATCCCCCGTCTCTCTGCCAATCACAGAGCTGCACAAGTAGCGAGCTAAGAGGCTCCAGCTTGACGAGGTTAGTGAAAGTTGACTGAACGCTAGAGACCGGAGCATGGAGGACCGGAGAATAGAGAACCGCAGTGACGCGCCCTAAAACCCGGAAGTAAACTTCTTCCGGTTCCTTCGACAAAAATGCATCGAAATAAGGTCTGTGGAAAACGAACCTGTTAGATAAATGCACGTTTTGTTTAGTCGGATAATCTCCACATGTCTACCCATCTTTTATAATTTTCGAATCATAAATCTATCGATCATAAATCTATCGATTAGATTTATGATTAGAAAATTATAAAAGTAGGGTAGACATGTGGAGATTACCTGGCTGAACAAAACGTGATCTGTCTCTTAAATGTGTGTCAACCACAGACCTTATTTCAAGCTATTTTCCAAAATCCTATGGAGAAATTGCATTGGTTTTTGTCGAAGGAACCGGAAGAAGTTTCCCTCATCTTGTCAGCACTCAGCAGAGACGAGCTTTGATCTTTGCTTCGCCACTACGGAGGCCGAGAGTCTCAGTTATCAACACACATGGAAGTCGAGGAGAAAGAGAAACACAGCGCACCGAATCAAACGTTTGGCAACACTTCGAATTTTTCAAGAAAGACGGACAACTTGAAAAATCGCTCGCAAATTGTAAACGATGCCGTGCGGCTTTAAAGTACACAAGTAGTACGAGGAACTTAGCGACGCACATAGAGGCAACATGGGGTCTGCGGCTGAAAAGAGAAACCTGAAAGTTAGACATATGAGTTCAATCACTCAGTGAGGTGTTCTGTCAGTGAGAGTGGTGTTTAGTTTACAACAGCCTGTGGCCAATAATAGTTTAAATGTCTTCCTTACAATTGTAAGCAGTTATGAAATACCTGTTTGTGAAAGGTTATTTTCTTTATTGTTCCTATAGAAACCACTGCTTTCTGCTCACTGGTGAGTTAGCCTATGAATGAGTGTTAAGCACATCAGGCTGGCAGTTGTATGTGCATTGCACTATGGTAGTTGTTATTTGCACATTGTTAATCCTGGGCATCCTTAAATTGTTTAACTGTGAGGTCAAAGTGAAACATCGCAAAATAAACTGGTCAGACTACTGCTTGACCTTTCATCTAGAACCCACCTCACCTCTGCCCACTTTGACAACCTAGGATGGCTTAGAGTAGACGACAGAGTACAGCTACTTGCAATGGGCCTGGTCTACAAGATCCACTACACCTCTATGGTACCCATGTACATGTCAAAATTCTTCCCAAAGGTCAAGGAATACCATGATCATAACACCAGAGGGAGCTCCACAAATCATGTAAAACCCAGATTTGGCACAAAAAAAGGGGAATACACGTTTCGCAATTATGCCACATCAAGGTGGAACGCTCTTCCCACAACTGTAAAGGAAAGTAAAACTATACTTACCTTCAAAACCTCTCTTAAAGAGCACCTTCGGGGGAAAGCATTGCAAAACTGGCCCCGGTAATGGTACAAATCTCAACCTGTCGTACAATGGACAGCTTCCCCCCCCCATCTATGTATATACTCGCATTTTTAGACTCTGTTACTAACTGTATATCTGTAGACTTGGTATGTCTTAAATGTCCGGTTAGGATGTATTAGAACGAAATCTAAAATGAAAATTGTAAATAATGTTATAACATTGAACTGTACTCTGGAGACAGAGAACACTACTACACTTGTGAAAAGGCCAGTTTGTGAAAGGTCCAAGTGTTTTTTTTTTTAAGGTAAAAAAGAAACAGCATGATGGGATGTGCAGTACTAGTAGAGAGAAGCAAATATGTGAAGCACTTTTTTGTTAATGTATGATTTGCTGCATATAAGGAATAAAACAAAATCCTCTGTCGTACCATATTGAATTGTATCATTATTTTGCATCGTGTTGAATCGCATCGTATCGCCCCGTATCGCATACTGTAATGTTGAATCAAATCGTATCGAACTGTATCGCAACAGGGGTGAATCGCATCGTCTGGTGTTTCAAAGGTATCGTTAATGTATGGTATCGTTGGTAGCGTATCGAGATGCGCATCGTATCGGCCTCAGTGATGGAGATGCACATCCTTAATATGCACGGTTATCCAGAAGGGAGAAATGAGAAGCTTTCAAGACCTGAAAAACCTCTTTGACCTAGAGAACAAAGACTTATTCAGATATATGCAAATGAGGGACTACTATACAAAAAAGGTTAAGAAAAATGAAGATGACATACAACCTATTGTAAAGATTATTGCACGAGTTTACCATGATGATGTTCCCAAAGTTGTGTCAACCCTGTATTCGTGCTTGATGGAAGCCAAAAAAGATTCAACACTCTATGTAACTAAATGGGAAAAAGAACTAAACGAAAGGATCTCAGATGAGATGTGGTATGATATGTGGAAAATGCACCAGACCACTACACAGTCACACGGATGGAGAGCATTTCTGTGGAAAAAACTAATTTGTTTCTTTTACACACCCAAAATCACTAGTAAACAAACAAACACTCAACAATCATGCTGGAGAATTTGTAAACATCTGGAACCTCACCATACACATGTGTTTTGGAGCTGCAGTAAAATGCAACCTTTCTGGGACTGTGTACACTCTGTTATATGCAAGGTATTAGGCTATAGAATCCCTCAAACCTGTTTGATATTATACCTGGGACATATGGAAGGATCTGTACATGTCGGAGATCAATACCTGATCAAGATCCTCCTAGCTGCTGGAAAGAAGGCTATCACTAAAAACTGGCTAAAGGCGGAAACACCAAGCTACAGACAATGGGTTCATATTATTGGTGATATCCTAATAATGGAGAAAATCACATACAAGTTGAAAGTAATGGAAGACACATTTTTAAGGGCTGGGAAAAATGGTTAAGGTACATAACAAAGGAGTCATAAAAAACCAAGCAATATTTGATAACTATGTAGATCGTCTCCGTACAGGCACTGTTCTCTCTGAAATGTAATATTTGTTTGTGTAATTTACCTTGTGAAAAAATCAATAAAAGAAAGTAAAACATTAATAAAAAATAAGTACTGCTAGTCATCAATATTTTAAACTTACATTTCCGTTTGCTTAGAAGCCAATTTCTACAATATTTTTGCTGGTGCATTGTCACATGTCTTAAATTAATGTTAGCATTAATGTTAGAGTGCTTGGTTCATAGAGGAAGCAGATCATATTTTTTAGGAAAAAACTCAAATCCAGTTTTGACAACTTTCAGGCTAACAAAGCTTCACAAACTGATGTGAGGAATTAACACTGAAAAAGTTAAGAGTTAACGAAGAACGTATTTAATTGAAGTATACAGACTCACAGCTGGCAGTGCAAAGAAGGAGATGCCCAGGAGGGCGAACCCAGCAGACAGCATCCGTCCTGTCCACGTCTTTGGAGTCTTGTCCCCATAACCAATGGTGGTCAGGGTGATCTGGGAAAAGGAATGAATTATTATTATAGGTCCTGAATTATGCCCATGCTACACATACATTCAGAACATATTTTATTGATAGAAAACAAGCTCTCAAGAGCTGAAAGGAGATGTTTTCTTGAAGACATGATGCTTTTGGTAGAATGTTATCATTCGACACTTCCTATAGAGTTTACAGTACATGATCAATGTTTTGTTTTTTTAAACCCTTTGCTTTATTTTTTATAATTCTTCAATTATTAAATTGAAGGACATCTACTCACACACATTTACTTGTTTAAAATGGTTGTTTTTAATGACAACATTAAGGTGCTTTTAAGGGAACATTAAAAGGTTTTATTTCTCAAAGCTTTGTACAGGAAATGTACGCTCCACTCATTGCTGTATTGAGAATTCTGAAGAATTAGTTTCACATTAGGAGGTTCATTTGAATTCACCTGTGGCAGACTGAATGAATGCACCTGCTGGATACACAGCATGTGAGTGGGCTGCATTTGATGTATCATTATTTCTTTAATTACACAAATGACATCTGATTGGTCTGACTTACCGCATATTTTCAGTATTTTTCTTCGACTACTCTGAGACCCATGTCTCTCGGTGTGCATAATAACTGTATTATATTTGCATGTCATTTTCTTTTCACACAGAAGCCTGATTTTAAATGCTGCCTTCAGGCGCTGCAGTCGGAGTGATTAGACCTTTGAGGAGGACTTATAGCAGCAGCTCCTTCTGGCCTTGGATTCAAGAACAATAATGAAAGCCTGTGGCTGAAATGTTTTATTCTGCTTAAAAATAACACGTTTCGAACCACAGTTTGGTGTTCTTTACTGTATTTGCGAAGACTTTCTGTGAATGCTGTTTTGACAACATTGATTAAAGACATTGAACCAAACAGAAGACGGAGCCAATATTTAATAAAATACACAGTTAATTGTGATAGTAATCGGTATGTATGTATGTATGTATGTATGTATGTATGTATGTATGTATGTATGTATGTATGTATGTATGTATGTATGTATTCATTGTATCCATCTGTCTGTCTGTCTGTCTGTAGGTTCTACTTGTCCATTCTCTTCTGTCTTTCCTCCAGTTCAACCGTTTGACTGTTTCAACTCAACAAAGCCCTAATTTCCTTCATCTATCTATCTATCTATCTGTCTGTCTGTCTGTCTGTCTATCTATCTATCTATCTATCTATCTGTCTGTCTGTCTGTCTATCTATCTATCTGTCTATCTGTCTGTCTGTCTGTCTATCTATCTATCTATCTATCTATCTATCTATCTATCTATCTATCTATCTATCTATCTATCTGTCTGTCTGTCTGTCTATCTATCTATCTATCTATCTATCTATCTATCTATCTATCTATCTATCTATCTATCTATCTATCTATCTATCTATCTATCTATCTATCTATCTGTCTGTCTGTCTGTCTATCTATCTATCTATCTATCTATCTATCTATCTATCTATCTATCTATCTATCTATCTATATATCTATCTATCTATCTCTCTATCTGTCTATCTATATATCTGTCCGTCCATCCATCCCTCCATTCCTCCATCTATCTTTCTATTTATTTTCGCAGATTGATCAATCTTCCTCTCAGACTCTGATTGCCTTGCCTTATGAAGGCAGCTGCAGCTATTTGGTATCATCATGATTTCTTGAGGTGGTATGAAACTGATGCTTAATGGAGCCGTGCAGGGTTAATGTTTATGGAGGAGCTGTCAATGCTCAGAGGAGAAATATAAGCATCAGTCCTCTTCAGGACACATTTATGAAGAGGTGACTGTGAGACCTCCTGTTGCAGAGACACCGGAGTGGCTGTGGAAAGAAATCAATTCAAGGTGTATTGTAAATGTACAAAAAAAATATTGATGGCAAATAACAAGAAAACATATTTTCTTGTTATTTGCCATCAACCATTTTTATGACAGACAATATCGATAATATTTTCTCTGAAAATAACAAATGTAATCCCTACAGCGTGAGTTTTGTACCATAATATCTCCCTCTCCCCAGGGTCTGCAATGAATGAGTTATTTTGACCTACAAAGCCCTTTATACGCCAACATCATAGACAGCTACTTCGATTAAGAGGGGAATGAAAATTCTCTTGCAGCTATTAAAATCAGCATTTTCATTATTAGTTTTGACTGAATCCTGGCCAATCCAAACTCACCGTGCCCCACCACAGCGCATCGGCATAGGTAGCAAAGTCTTTGTTGAACTTGTTCTCCACGAGGTAGACGAGGAACGAAGAGAAGATGAGAACCAAGAAGCCGATGTACCAGGCGGTCACCAGTTCCTGCAGAGAGCGTTCATGGGAAAACAAGAACTGTATTAATGCACAACCACTTTGGTAGATGAACCTAAATTGGCTTTGTGACGACAATTTTGAAGACCATGTCTGCTCATGATATGACACAAAGGAAATTAGTTAAATCTTTGTTTTAAATCTGCAGACCCTTTCAACTCATGCAGGTATTGTGCGTTTTGCCTTGCCTTCAAAAACATTGAAATTCAAAAGTTCCCAATAGCAGCTGTATGTTGTTACATATCAGGGTGACGCATTGCTTGATGGGATATCTTGTCATCATAGCAGAGACTTTAAATTATTGTATTTTGAGGAAAATGATTGCATGCAGAACAAACTGGCAGAAATATTTCATTTTACAAACTACATATTCAACTTGAACACCCCATACACTCCATTATTTTGTATTTGTTTTGTAAAGCCCACTGACATAGCTATGATGTGTGCAACAGAATACACTTCAGCATTCACCACAAAACTGTTCATCCACATTGAATTGGAGGAAGGGCAAAAATCAAGGCTCTATATTTATTTGCTTTTGGATTTTTGATTCAGAATGTCCCTGAAATATTAGCTTTAGAAAAGTTCATGAACCATCACATTCAAACTGCATATTTCAGTTTGAATGTGCAGCTTTTACGAGTTAATTCAAACTATGCTAGTTACAATGAGCTTTCCTTGCTCCTACGGGGGGGTCATAGGGATCTAAGAGAAATGTGAAAAGAGGTTTTGTGCAGGTTGATGGAGGTGAAGGACAGAGAGATGAGCGAGAGTCGAGGTAAGAAAGGCGAGAAAAGCCTGAAAAGAGTTGAACAACTGTCAATATTGCAACATGTAGTATATTCCATCAAATGTTTTAATCTTGTTCTTTGTACATTACTTTTCTTATTCATTGTATCACATTGCTAATCAAATATAAACATCTGCATTTCACACCATAGGGATAGTGTAACGTCTGAGGTGTTTCAACAATACTTCTGTGTAACAAAAACTCAGAAACTTTAGTACTTTTGGAGCGTCCCAGACGGAGGCTCTGTTTATTACTGTTGGGTCCTACTTAAAACTCCAGAACACACTGAGCATGCTCAAACACATGGACTCTCAAACCAATGCTTACAATAGTATAGCAAAGTAAATATTCTGTACTCTAATGTAGAGTATTTTATATATGTTAAGTAGTTTATCATAAGTGTTACATTCAATCAACATAGGGGTTACAATAATAGAAACAACACATTTTACAATATGCCTCACACACCTAAGTATGATTTTGAACACGGCCATACAGTTGAATCTTTAATATTGAGCTACACCAAGGTAAGATTTATGACAGGGCTTGCATTGGTTCTTCGGTTGTTTATAACTATTATTAGTGTGTAAACATGAAGTTCACTAGCGATACTTTAAAAATGTTTTCCGTTACAATTATTAGCTACCTTTAAAAAAATGTAACCTGATTACTTTCCTCTACTTTAACCCTCCTGTTGTCTTCGGGTCAAATCTGACCGATTTACTACTTTCATCAATCATAACTTTTTTGTTTTACATTCGATTGCATTAAGGCTTTATGATATCCTTCACAGTAGACATTTGAACATATCAAATTGATATGACTTTCATTGCATTTTGGATGATTTAGTCAACTTTGTAACACCCATGGTGTTCCCGGTCAAAAATTACCGCCATAAAGAAAAGGAATTAGTAACCATCCGGATCAGATCAGATCAGATCACACACACACACACACACACACACACACACACACACACACACACACACACACACACACACACACACACACACACACACACACACACACACACACACACACACACACACACACACAACACACACACATTCTCTCGATGTGTTCCCCCTTATGTGCCCATCACCCCATGTGAATCACACCTGGCACACACAAACACACAGAACAATTTGATACATTTCCCGCTCTCATGTTCAGTGTCTATTCTTTGTATATGTACTGCAGTTGTTCATGTATACCAGTAGTCTGATACAATATTTACAGTTTGAAAGGGTGTTAAATGAAATTTGGTGATGATTAATGTTTTTTGTGTTAATGTAATAGCAGTTAAAACAGGACCGGTCAAATTTGACCGTGAACACCAAAGTAAGGGGGGGGAACGAAGACAATAGGAGGGTTAAACCAATATGTTTAGTGTGAAAACTTCTGCTCAGAGATTTTATTTATTGGTAAACCTGCCTTTCATTTAGCAGATTCAGGCAGTAGGCATATAGATTAACATTTAAAGTATTAGCCTACAGAACAGTACAGTTTACAGAGAAGAAATCATTCTGATCCTTTCACAACAAACACTATATGCTCTTTTTACTTTTTTTAGTATAATTGTAATCCTGATAGTAGTCCACAATGTTCAGAAATGTAACAATATCTGATTACGTCTTTTTTAGTGTAACTGTACGGATATACAGTTACCTTTTTCGATGTAATCCGTTACTCCCCAAGCCTGATGTTCACTGACACAATGAATGTGCCCAGTTTACAGGGATTCATTTCATATTTCATATCACAAGATGTAGGCTGAATCATTGACTCATTGTGGGGGTTGAAGTTAATGCTTTCATTTGAAATATAAATATGGTTTTATTTATTTTGAATTCCTTCAGTGCCTTCCATTTCCACCCCGCTCTCTGTTGCCATTCATAGTTTTATTGCTGGGTTATTTTAAGATGCAGTTCAGTCAGACACTCACATTTTAAATGTTAAAGTGGACCTATCATGCTATATTGAAATGATATATTGTAGGGCCATACCTATATAAGGTATATTTATACGTTTCTGTTTTCAAAATACCAAACAGATCATGCATTTTAGCCATGCCTCATTTCGCTCTATGTGCTGTTTGCTGTCTACGGGTCTGATTCTGCTGACCACGCCCCCCTGCAGGAGAGGGGAGACGTGCTCTGATCAGCTGCTGGGCTGTCAGAAGAGGGGGAGAAAAAGAGATCTCCGTCCTCCGTGTTTTATTATATAGAGTCGTTATTCATTTGTTTTAAAGCTCAATAAATAACAAAGAAGACCTTTGACCGGCACTTTTCTAATTTTGTCCGGAAGATTTAAACTTTAACGGACATCTTGACCGGCGAAAGAAACTGAAACTGAAACTCTGCCGCACGGTCCCCTCGTTCCTTGTAAGAGGTGGAGAGGTGGGTGTTTGTCATCTGCTGGTGGACTAACCGGAGAGAATTACAGTGCTTGCCTCGACGGGGAGGGATTGCATTGAATTAAAGCAGCGGGAGCAAACGCTTGCCTCGGGGAGGGAGAAAAAAAGCCACAGCGGAGAATAAACAGAAGGGTAACCATGGTAACTATGGGTGGGAAGTCTTCCTCGCTGCTTTTGTGGCAGACTACAGCGCCACTTACAGGCCTGGCATATGTACTACAGCGTCTCCAGCGCTTTCGAGCGGCAATGGCCGGCCGTGGCCCAACCCCACATTCCCCTGATAGGTGGAGAGTTGGCCCAATAGCCGTAGCGCCACTTCTGTGACGACATAGAAGTGTTCAAATCTGGATCAGTCTGTATCAGATCCGTTGCAGCCCCTTTTTTAGAGATTTGGGTATGGAGGAAAATAGAGAGGGTTGTGTTTTCTGACACTTGGTGAGTTCCCTGGAACACCGGGGACACATATTCATGTATAAAAGACGTACAAAAGTGCATTTTGCATGATAGGTCCCCTTTAAGTAACAGCAGCATATAGTCTATGCTCTGGCCTCATCACTCTCGTAAATATTGTTTACATAGAACATAACGTATTGACGATTAAATAACTATCCCCTGAAGCCTACAGGTGGATGCTGGTGTGGAATCAGGGTTTGGTCGGTTGTTAGAGGGGCAACGCGTGCATATGTATCATTGGTCCTGGAGTGGACTGCCTGAACTAGCTCGCAGGCTTCCAGGTGTGTGTGTGTGTGTGTGTGTGTGTGTGTGTGTGTGTGTGTGTGTGTGTGTGTGTGTGTGTGTGTGTGTGTGTGTGTGTGTGTGTGTGTGTGTGTGTGTGTGTGTTGGTCATCCCACCCACCTTGCTGTGTGCGTACACCACGGAGCCCAGCAGCTTCCAGGTGCCCCCCCTCCGGTCCATCCTCACCATGCGGAGGATCTGCAGGAAGCGCAGGCTCCGCAGCACCGAGGTGGCGAAGATGTTGCCCTGACTTCCTGCCGAGACCACGGCCACCGAGGCGATCAGCACGATGATGTCTGTGTGAGAGGAGCATACACTGAGAAAACTGTAACCTGGAGGACTCAATACATTGTTTTTTAAATGTTTGCCTCCACACAATGCTTTTTTGTTATGTTCATGTAGTTTATTTTTATTACATTTCTTGATAAACACTCATGTAGTTCAGGTCAGCTTCATTATATTTGAGTGTGGCATTTTCTTTAAGACTTGCAACAAAAGCACTACCTATATCCAGTGGTGGAATGTAACTAAGTAACTAAGTATTATATTGACTTAATTGTACTTTTCTTGAATATCTCCATTTTATGCCACTCCATTTTTATGCCACTATTTAAAGGGGCCCTTTTATGCTTTTTGGGGTTCTCCCTTTCCTTGTCTTTTGTTACATAGGTTCTTGTGCATGTAAATGGTCTGCAAAGGCTAAAATCCCAAAGTTAACCAACAGTCTCAGAATCCCCAAAATGAGCATACAGTAAAAGGGCCCCTTTAACTGTCATGGTTACTAGCTACTTTTTGGATACTAAAACACACACTATGCTTTCCTGATATGATGCCGTACTTTGCTACTTATCAGTCGTGTATTTTGTTAAGACTTTAAAATTGGCTCCACATTGACCGACCACAATTAAATTGCTCTTACGTGTGATAAAAACATGTAAAAGATTGATATAATATTCTTGAATAATAAAATACTTTGAAAGAGTCACTCTGCATACTGGATACTTATACTTCTGATACTTAAAGTACTTCTAGCTGAATACCACTGTACTTTATGTTACTGAAATGGGCCATTGTGGTGAATGAGTACTTTTACTTTGTGTACTTGAGTACATTTTGATGCTAATACTTTTGTACTTTTACTGAAGTAAACTTGTGAATTTGGGGTGTTTACTTGTAATCGAGTATTTTAAGACCATATAATCTTTACTTTTACTTGTGTAAAGGATCAGAGATATGAGTCCATTTCTGTCTGTATCGCACAACACTTTGAAACAGTTTCTACATGCAAGAGAACATTCTATAAATACTCCACATACACTTAAGCACATTAGAAGAAGAGAAACAACTTGTCATAGGAGCAGATGAGTGTTCACCCCTGACAGCAAGAAGGTCCAACCTGAGGGTATATCTACATATTGATCTTAAAATGTGAACGTGGCCCTTTAAAAAGACAGGCGGGATGGCTCATCCCAGCCTGGAGGTCCCAGTGTCTGGGGCGGGCTGGATGTCTTTCATCCTAACTATATGTTGTCACCTCACCCTCACCCCTCACTGTGGAACATTATCCCACTAACACTTCATATTACTTGAGCTGACACACTCAACATTGTGTACTATTCCTACTACTTCCTGTACACTATATGCTCGTATACGTCACCGGCTACTGCATCAACACGGCTACTGACGCAAACAGGACAGTGGGGAAGTAATTGGCTTAAGCACTGTCCTATGAAGAATACACCACGTGCAGTGTATTTGGAATTATCAAGATCCATATGTCGCATGTCACTGGGATTCTAAAGGTTTCTGATTTGTTGATCATTTAATCTGCCCATATCTGAGTGCAGGCAAACTGCATTGAAGAAAATGGTTACCTACATAGCATATAGCTTTTTGTAGGCCGACCTGGAAGTGAGCATTGCATCCCCCCCACAAAAAGATTTCTTAAATTGCAGAAAATAAGATCTTTGGCAACACAAATTTATATTATTTACACATTTTGTTGAGCATGATAATCTTCACCACTTTTATAATTTTGAAGCGATAATGCAAATGCCAGAAGTAAAAAGCTAATGTTAGGGTATAAAGGAACTTCATCACGGTTGCATGGCTGCTAAGCTAAAGGCAGCTAATATACAGCGTGATGACGATAAATTCACCACTCGGGTATTTACTGACATATTTTATGTCGTAGAAAAAAACGTTACAATCTCTTCAGCTCGTGTTAACAACATACCTTATTTCAGTAACCTAACCAAAAACTAAGTCTAAAAACTTGGCTTTGAGACGTGGAAACCGGAAAAAATACTAATTCCTGCATTACACTGTTGAAAGAGTATAGGAAATAGTCAGAGAATGCTCTATTTTAAAATTAGATGTCTTTTAGAGCCTTATTTAGAGCAATGTGGGGATTTAAAAAGCTCCAATGACCCCCCTCTTGTGTCTCGAACACATCTTCCATTTCAATGACGCACCAGGGGTCCTGTTTTCTATTTCACTCTGAACAAGAGCTTTTCCTTCGTGTAGAAACTTCTCGTCAGCTCCTGTCCTTCTGCCTAACCCGTTATTTGGAGAAAATGACCAACCAAGGTGTGTTTAATGGCTTCTCTTATAAACCATGAACCAATTGACGCCAGGTGGCGAGAGGAAAAAGGGGAAAGGTCAGCAGCAGCACCATGAAAAATACATGAATGACACCCTGAAGGTGAGAGTCTCCAGGGGCTGCAGGGTGCAGCAGGTTCACTCCTTTTGAAGGTGCAGAGAGAAAAATATGAGACAACAGAGGGATGGATGTGTGTGTGTGTGTGTGAACTGGAGTGTGTGAATTGGAGTGTGTGAGGTCAGAGAGTTTGCCCACATCAGAATAATGCAGCTCGGCAGCATCTCAGCTTTAAAGAGTAACTTTAAAGTGGACCTATCATGCTATATTTTAATAATATAGTGTAGGACCATACCTATATAAGGCATATTTATACTTTTTTTTTTTCAAAATACCAAACAGATCATGCATTTTAGCTCAATTTGCACTTTTTTAGCCCTGTTTTTGCAAGGGCTGATTCTGTGAGAACAGCACCACCTACAGGCCTGGCATATGTACTACAGCGTCTCCAGCGCTTTCGAACGGCAATGGCCGTGGCTGTCTCCTCCTGATTGGTGGAGTTGGCCCAATAGCCGTAGCGCCACCGTCCTGACGTCAGGACAGTGTTCAAATCTGGATCAGTTTTTATCAGATCCGTTGCAGCCCCTTTTTTAGAGATTTGGGTATGGAGGAAAATAGAGAGGGTTGTGTTTTCTGACACTTGGTGAGTTCCCTGGAACACCGGGGACACATATTCATGTTTAAAAGACGTACAAAAGTGCATTTTGCATGATAGGTCCCCTTTAAATGAAGTCTCCTTTATGAGTTACTACATTCACTTTATTAGACTATGTATTGATCTTGGCCCCGTTAGGTAGCTGCCATGGCAACAAAAGGAAGAAATCTCGTAATTCTGTACCCTGGAGTCCAAGAAATACACAAAAAAAAGGTATGAAAAAGGGCTATATTTGAAAAATTGACTTAGTTAGAATGATACTGCAGTTGCAAGATCATTTGCTGAATCCTCGATAAGTTACTGTTAATGTAGCATTAACAAAAATCTGTCCATAATAAGATAGGAAATCCTGTAGAGCTTATATGATGAAACTATTCAGCAGCTAGATGTATTTTCTGGCAGCAGGGCTGGGCAGTAATCAGCTGTTCAAAAATGTAATGTTGCAAAAAGCAGACGGGGAGAGTCACAAGCCTCTGCTCTATACAATTATTTAGAAAATGTCGAACAAATCCTTAAGTTCAGAGGACATTCTGAAGTGGCATGGGAGCATGTGTCAGGGCTTTGGATACATGTTTTGAATTTGTGAAGGAAGCATATTGAAGCTTAAAACAGCTGTTGAGTTGCTCTTCACGTTGAAGACAGATAGAATTTTTGTTTTTTAGAAAGCTCCAGCAAGTCAACAAGCAGGCCAGGATGGAGGGAGGGTTTTAGGTCCTGGAGTAAGCATTCCACAAGTTATCATTTAAACTGCTTCTTATGAAATCATTGTATTTTTATTAACATGAATCAGTGTCCATCAAAGCAGCCAAGCTGCGCCCTTATGTTTTTTCTGTTTCTTTGTGATGTAACTAGGTGGGTTGGTTTGCAAGCGAGTACAACTTCTCCCTTCATTCCTCATTGAAATGAATGGGGAGAAAATCCAGTAGCAGGGCATTAGCACATCTCCAGGAAAATAGAGTTTAACTGGGGTTGATCTATTACAATAATACTGGTCTGATTTTTTAAGAGGATATGTACCAAACAAGGGTTGATCTCTATGAGGTTAGAAAGTCATCAACACCCACGGAAAACATACAGAAAACATATGTACATCTGTATATCTGTATATGTATACAAAAAACTAAACTTAAAGAAGAAATATAAAATAGAGTTGTTCTATTGGGTTCTTACTTATCAGTTAGATGTTGTACATTATGTGCTCTATGAAGGATTTTCAACATTCGATCAATGCGCACAAAAAAAGTATAATTTAGACGCCAAATAATTACATTCTTAATAGTTTTGAATGACGGTGGAGAACACTTGAAGAAAGCTATCTTTGTATCTTTCTACACCTTCATTTGCCAGTGTGGTTGAACAATTGCACAGCCTTTTTGTTTCAATGCAACAAAAAAAGTATCATTAAAGATGATTCAAGCATACAGTATAGAACAGTCCTCTAGCAATCTGACTTTATCCAATCAAGCATTTTCTCAAATACAGCACAGCATGTTGCCATAGTGTGTAATATGTAGCAGGCAGAGCAGCAAATAGAAATAATAAAACTATTTGGAACTCTAGTACAAACTAGAGAATGCAATTCCTGAAGAAATTGCTAGTGGGAATGCTTTATGCTGAAAAGCTGACGCTGAATTGCTATGCTGAAATGTAATGTGTAAGAAGAAAGTGAAGAATTTAGATTGAAATGATACATGAACACTGGGGGCTTGAATGTGTGATGAGAGAAGAAAGTAAAAAAGCTTGGAAAAGCAGCAGAATATTTTAACTGCAAACTTTTGAACTAACTTGATGGCGAATGATCTGTCGCCATGCCAACGGTATTTGATGACACCCCATAATACGCTTAGATATGTTGATGGCTGCATCGTTACCAAACCTGTGAAGTTTTGGGCTGTTTGGAGTGTTCCATGACACAGGTGTTTATATTTGAGCTTACGACGTGTCCAGACCAAACCAAGGTTTCCATGGTGATGTGCAGTAATCAGTGAGAGGAGCGCATTTGCATTGTTCTGATTGAGAGATAAACCTCTTACATGTGAACGTTTTGTTGAAGAACCGTAACAGATATCGCGTGAAGCATGTCAAGGACCTTGAGCATCTGAAGTGTGCTTTTTGTGTACTTTCGGGTTAATAATGTGGCCTTTTTGGCAGATTAACTAAAGGTGTGCGGCTGCTGCTGTGAGGAAAGATGAGCCTGAATGTACAATGGGCTTTAATGGAGACATGCTGAAAGTTTTTGTCACTTCATGCCCTCAAGAGGCATTTTGTTTAATTGTTTTGCTTAATTTTTCGCTCAAGTTTCACCGCGGCTTGCAGTTTGTTTTATCGCGTCATTCAAAACAGACATACCGTTGACGCGCCGCGCCGTTGACGGACAGTTGAGGTTGTTTACACTTCCATGCAAGATCGTTTTGATTATTTCTGTCGTTGACTATGGAGGATATAACAACTATTGCTGCTTTGTACCTTCTGTGGAAGTCCTACAAACGTAGCAACAAACGCCGCTCTGTCTGGGTTCACAATATAATCAAGCGTCGCACACAGTTTGGTGAATATCATTGTTTGATCAAGGAACTGCGCCTGGATGACTGCCGTTTCCAGCGGTATTTTAGGATGACCTGTGTCCAGTTTGATGATATTCTGGCTCGGGTTGGTGTCAGGATTTCCCGGATGGACACAAACTACAGGCGTTCCCTCTCAGCTGCGGAGCACCTGTCAATATGTCTCTGGTAAATTGCTTTGTTTTGTTTTTTATTAGCGTGTTAATCTGTAATCAAGCAAACAACGGATGTATATTTTGTATAACTTACCAGGTATGCCTACTTCCTCGCTTATCTTCCTCCATGCGAGCTCTTTCTTATTGCGGTCCCGGTAGATATATGACATTGTATCATATATCTCCGGGAACCCACTGACAGCAACAACGATTTTCTCTTCCATCTTAATTCAACTGATCAACAGCAGGACGTCAGAGGGACGTCAGAGGGAATCCCAACGCTGATTGGCTTCCGCGAGAACGCGTCATGTGAATTTGACGCTCGAGTTGAAAAAATGGAACTCTCGCGTTTAACGCGGCACTGTTCAATCGCCTCAATCGCGTGATTCGCGCCGCATCCACCGCTTCATGCGCGCCGTCGGAGCGAATTCGCGTCTGTCCGCGTCTCTGCATTGACTTTACATGTAATCGCGCCGCCCCCAAACATCGCATCGCGTCCGGTGTGAACGCAGCATGAGTGTGTGTGAGTGAGCAAGCAGGTGGTGCCCGTTAGCTGATTAGCTACCTTCAACCTGCTGATTGGTCCACCTAAGGAGACGGGAGCATATTAAGCTGCAGCCGTGCAGTTCCTCGGCCCCTCTCTCTGACTCGACTTCTCCTACTCCCAACATTGTTGCGTTTATATCTGTCCTGTTGTGCTGTGGTCCTACTTATACCGTATACCGGTCCTCTTGTTTGTCTTGAAAACCTCAGAAAAGAAACTACTTTAACCTGTCCTTGTTGGACATGCTTTAATTTATGCGAAAGTGTGAAACCATTTTCTTTTGGTTGATTCTCGTTTTCTCCTGTTTATACTGTACTGTATGTCAAAGTAGGTACAGTAAGAAGCCTGTACGTTTATTTTTCTTATTGGTTAGGCAATATTTTTGTGTTCAGAGATTTGTTTGTTTTGTGGGTTGTTGCGCTTCTTTGTAAAAAACTTTGGTAATTACATTTACCAAACGGCATTCTCTGTCTCGGTGTCCATGTTCTTGGGAGTGGGAAAAGTGGGGAGAGTACAAATGTTATGCTGCGCCTAGGTTCCCCTAGACCTGGGCGTAAAAGATGTGTAACATTTTAAAGTTGGAATGAGGTTTCTGAGTGAAAGTATGAATGAACAGTTAGCAGTTGAAGTTGCATGAAGATTGTTCGAGTCTGAAGAGTTTCTCCATTGACTTCCATGTTAAACATTTGATGAATTATGGGATGTATCTCTGGAATTATGAAAGTTATGAATAAGAAAAGTAATAGCCATCGATTCCCGACCGAGCTGAACGTTTTGATGTTTGAACGGAGTTTCTGCGATGCGGAATGTGGGAGAAGTAGAGCAGCAAAATAACCCGGTGGAATAATAATAAAGAATTTCGTGCGTAGCATAACAAGTAGTGGGAATGCTGTATCGGCATTCCCACTAAATTAAATGTCAGACAATATATTCCTGTCTTTGCAACAACTTTGGAAAGGTTTTAACTTGGTGAACTAAGTATTGATTTTGACTGTTAAAAATGCTGAACTCCTAGTGACTGAAATAAAGAAGAATTTGTGCTGTGATCTAAAAACAAAAGACTCACGTTTTTGTTCACATTATAAAATGTGATTACATCACACGGTATTAGAGGTGCAGTTATATGTAAGATACAGTGATGGGGTTTATCTCAGAGAGAAATCTAAATGTGGTGATGGGAGTGATCATAATGTGTCTCTGCATCTCCATCTGTCTCCCCTGCTCGGGTCCTCTGGGTTCAACTCATCTTCTCTTTCATCTTCTCACTTTATCCCCTTATCTCTATATTTTTTTCACTTTTGTGTCTGCCTCACATTCCCTCAGCACTGGCAAACCAGCGCACCTCCAAAGTGTGCCGTGTGCAGCCTGCTTGACCTTTACGCCCTGTCCACTCTCTCTTCAGCCCCCTACTGTAGTTTCCAGGAAGAGAGATCCATGTCTAAACAGTGGAAAGAATAAAAGTCAGTTAATTCCACCTCATTACGTAAATGCTCTCTGCTCTTATGAGCCCTGACCACAGCTTTAAATGACACGAGTAAACTCTGGTCAATAGCGTGCTGTGGGAGCGTGCCTACGTCATCAGACTCGTTTACAGAGAGCGGAGAGGAGGTCCATGAAAGGATAAGGAGAGGGCATCTGACAAGTGAAGCAATGAAGAAGAGGAAATGTTCTTGCCCACACAGGCTCCGCCCACTTTTGTACTCTGGGTAATATTCTTCTCCACTACACGCCCACACACACCCAAGAAATGTGCATATATGAAGTTAGCTACTTGAATATGTACAGATCACACAGTTTATAATGAGAATATGCTACTGTCTGTTATGCTTTTAGTTTTCTGCAATCAGCAAATTGCACACTCACTTGAAGCCGTTAAGGATCAGTAGGGTTGATGTTTTGGCCCAACATGGCGCACATTCGCTGGGGTTCCACACCCTGTACCAATACAGTCCAGTAAACGGGGTGTGTGTGTGAGTTAGATCGAAAGTTACACATTACGCAGAGCCCTCTACCACCCTGTCTCTCTATTGGACAACAGACAGTGGCAGAGCTGCCTTTTCTACTGTGTGGTCTGCACACAGTCCGGTATGCTCGTCCTGATTGGCCGGCTAATTCTTGTGGTTGAATTTGCGTGTTATTGTAGAAGAATATAACATAGAGTACAGTACACGGTACAGGGCGTCAGGTAGTTCAGTGGTTAGAGGTATCCACTACCAAGTACAAGGGTTTGACTCCCCAGCCGGACAAAGTATTAAGCAATGTCCTCCCCTCTGTCTCCCCCTTCAACACTGCATCTTGAATAAAGGCAATCTCTGGCCAACAAAATACTTACATTTTTTTTTAAAAGACTGTGTTTATATAACTAGGGTTATACTATAGAACATATGTTCATAAAATATCAGTTCCTGCTAGAAAAGATGACTTTTGTTATGGACCGTGGTTTGTCTGTTGGCTGTCTTCAAAGCCTCCACTGTGCTCCTGCCACTGACCTATGACGCAGAAAGGCTTCCTGGCGAAGCGGAGGCGTCCCTGCCACCCTCTGTAGCGACAGCAGCATCCTGCCGACCAGATACGCACAATGTACTCCAACCCAAACACCACGATCATCACAAACTCCTGTTCAAAGACACAGAAACAACAGTTGTTTTAGACACGAGGTAATGATGGTAACAGAATATACAGTACGAATGTGGTTTGCATTACATCTGTTATTGTCAGTGTGGATTGCAAATACATACTCAGATGTTATTTACTATAAATATTGGTACATTTATACTGATCACTATGGCAACATTTTCGAAACTTTGTCATTCATGAGACGTAACAACTTGTGAGTGCAAATGGTAACATCCAAAACATTACAATTAGGCTTCAAAACCTTGTAAAAACTCAGTAAATTGGCCAATGCCACCAAAAAGAGAGGTTTGGTCACTGTGTTAGCAGTTAGCTTCAACTGATCAATATTTTAGGATTTTTTTGGCAGTCAACCTTGGTAGGGTTTCTTTGGAAATAATATATACTTTGTTCACAGCCTGCTATACAAGAAGGTCACAGCTTTTTACATTTTGTCAGAATAAATTTTTCTATGAAAATCAATACCATACTACTCTACCTTAGTACAGAGCAAAGGATATGCACAGTTTGTCTGTGTAGCAGTGTGTTACATGTATTGTAAATTAACCATTCATCTTTCTTTTGAAATTAAACACAGAGCTAAATTAAAATGTGTGCCAAAAAACACACAACAACCATTCAAATAAACGCGACATGTGAATTACATTTGTTTTGAACAAAAAACGAATTGTTTGGATCTAGATATTTGAAAAGTAATCCTAGTTCAAGAATTGAGTCAAACCAAAAGGGAAAAACAGAGTATTGTATCTTCTAAAATCTTCCTGGCTTGGCTCCCATTAGAGTCATGAGCGACTGTATAAAAGGCGACCTTTGGTCCAGGTAAGAGGCTTTTGAAAAACATGTTGAGTTTTTTTGAAGCATCTTCAGCTTTAGTTCTCTTCTGTTCCAAACTCTTTCTTAAGGTAACTCTGAACTCCATTCAGTGCACTTAAGAAAAGAACAGTTCGAGGGTAGACACTTAAACAATAGAGGCAATCATCTAGAAGTCTAGGTCTGCTATCCATTAAAGAGAAGGTGAAATCTGAATTCAGTACTTTCAGTTATTCTCACTCATTTTGGTGTATTTTCTTTTTTAAACAAGCTCAAATCTCTCTTCCTTTGAGCAAATTGCAGATGCTCTGGCACATGTACTGTGTACAATTGGCACAATAACTAATTCTAAATAAAAATGTCAAACTCTTTAAAACATCTTACATGTAAAAGCCATCAAATCAAAATGATCCTTATAACATTTGATGGAAATACATTTATATTTCCCATAAATATCTTTGCCATTGTTTTACATATTAAGGATGTACACTTTCTTGGATTTTGCTTCAGGATTTGTTTGTTTTTAGCATGGTTGTAATTTTGTGGCAAGCTTTCTGTTCCCTGTATATGATTTTACATAAGCGTTTGGAAGAATTACTACATAAATACATAAATATTAATACACCTATTTCAGTAGAACTAATTTGAGACACATTTGACTTCCTATACGGAACTTATAAACTGAGGGGGCCGTGCTAGGGCCAGCAGTGAGGGACAAAGGAGACAAAGTGTTCAACATTTTAAAATGTTTAGATTGGTACAAAGTCATATCGCAAAAAATAACATAAAATACTGTTGTAAAAAAATGGTGTAAATTACTGTGTTATAATTTGAGTGGAGATACTTATTTGTTGTTCCTTTGGCCCAGGTTAAAGCACAGTCTGTTCTGCAACATTATCACAAATTGTATTATCAAAGATTCCTCTTTTGGACGGGGTCACAAGGGGTTTGATTCTCAGTGTTACAGGGGCACTGGCCCCTGTTGGCCCTCCCAGAACCGCCTATCGCCATGCCACACTTTTATTCCCGGAATCATGGAAAAGGCTTAGAAACAGCATTAGTTCTGAACACCTAACCCTAACCTTAATCCCTAACATACACTATTTCAGTTATTGACAATTTGTTACGGTTTTGTATTTATGTTTTCATTTTCCACCTTTGTTTTGAAATGTTTTCCTCCTTGGCCCGTTCTCATTTCATCAAATGTCCCTCCTCGACTCCTCGACTCCTCGGTCCTCCGGTAGTGACCCGGAAATGAATTTTAGCGCGCCATGTTGAAGGACATCTCATTTCTCGAAATGCACATCGAGGACCGAGCATCGAGCGTCGAGGAGGCTCTCTGGAGGAGCTATAACCGAGGATACACTGATGGGTCCTCCACGGTCCTTCACGGCTCCTTCGTGGATGCATTTCCGGCAACAGAGATGTTTCAAAGAGTCGAGACGCACGGCCGGACTGATCTCAGCCAATGACAGCTCTGCATGCATCCCCTGGATATTATTTTATTAACTGCTTTCATCGCGACGCGATGTTTACAGTGACGGCCCCTACACACGGCGGCGTGCGGTGACTCTTCAACGCTTCTGCCCATTCACTTTGAATGGGGTGACGTCACGATTCGCCGAACTGCATTCTGGGAGCAAAGCGTAGCTTTCCTCGCGGTGCTCGCTGCAAAAGTAGAGCATGTTCTACTTTTGAAGCTGAGGCGGAGGCGGCAGCCAATCAAATCCCGCGTATGCAAATCTGACAGTTCACGCGCTAGCCAATCAAACCGCGTGTATGCTGAGAGAGCCAGACCGCAGTTAATTTCCTCATATGCCAAAAAATGGACGGTAGGGAATCACCCGGTGCTTTCAGTCCCTGTTCACCTACCGGGATACAAACCGGAGGAGCCAGGCATGGAGGGAGGTGGCAGAGACAGTGGGTGAAACTGGTAGGTTTTCGCCTGTTTGGGGAGTTTATATCCAGTGTACTTCGTTTGAATGGACAGCAGGCATAGACAGTATATTTAGCCACCATGCAATGTTGCATAAAATAGCACCATAGACATTAATTAAAAATCGCTTTTTAGACATTAATGTCTATGGTGAGATTCATACACGGGAGCCTTTTTAAAGCCTTTTTACCCCGCTGCAAACAGAACCCCCCCCCCCCTTCCCATCACAAACTTTGCACAGACCCCCCCTTCCAATTATCAACTTCTGTATTGTTTCCGCAAACTCTTGTGTCCTGCAGCAGCTAAACGTTTTGCAAGCCCCCGTTCGTTTAGTACCTAAAATAATAGACATCGCTTTTTCCAGCTGACAAACCCGACTTTCTGGTCACTTCTTCAATTTTCCAGCCCTTGGGGAGAGACACGGGAGATTCATGTGATTGGTTGTTGGTCGCGTTCCTCGCGTAAACTCTCCAAGCTCAAGACACGCCCACCGCCAAGCGGCAACGCACGCCGCCGTGTGTAGGCTGCGTGACGGCCCCTACACACGGCGGCGTGCGGTGACTCTTCAACGCTTCTGCCCATTCACTTTGAATGGGGTGACGTCACGATTCGCCGAACTGCATTCTGGGAGCAAAGCGTAGCTTTCCTCGCGGTGCTCGCTGCAAAAGTAGAGAATGTTCTACTTTTGAAGCTGAGGCGGAGGCGGCAGCCAATCAAATCCCGCGTATGCAAATCTGACAGTTCACGCGCTAGCCAATCAAACCGCGTGTATGCTGGCAGAGCCAGACCGCAGTTCATTTCCTCATATGCCAAAAAATTGAGGAGAAAATAATCGTAGCGGTAGGGAATCACCCGGTGCTTTCAGTCCCTGTTCACCTACCGGGATACAAACCGGAGGAGCCAGGCATGGAGGGAGGTGGTAGAGACAGTGGGTGAAACTGGTAGGTTTTCGCCTGTTTGGGGAGTTTATATCCAGTGTACTTCGTTTGAATGGACAGCAGGCATAGACAGTATATTTAGCCACCATGCAATGTTGCATAAAATAGCACCATAGACATGAATTAAAAATCGCTTTTTAGATATTAATGTCTATGGTGAGATTCATACACGGGAGCCTTTTTAAAGCCTTTTTACCCCGCTGCAAACAGAACCCCCCCCCCCCCCTTCCCATCACAAACTTTACACAGATCCCCCCTTCCAATTATCAACTCATGTCTTGTTTCCGCAAACTCTTGTGTCCTGCAGCAGCTAAACGTTTTGCAAGCCCCCGTTCGTTTAGTACCTAAAATAATAGACATCGCTTTTTCCAGCTGACAAACCCGACTTTCTGGTCACTTCTTCAATTTTCCAGCCCTTGGGGAGGGACACGGGAGATTCATGTGATTGGTTGTTGGTCGCGTTGCTCGCGTAAACTCCCCAAGCTCAAGACACGCCCACCGCCAAGCGGCAACGCACGCCGCCGTGTGTAGGCTGCGTGACGCAGCCTACACACGGCGGCGTGCGTTGACGCTTCAACGCTTCTGCCCATTCACTTTGAATGGGGTGACGTCACGATTCGCCGAACTGCATTCTGGGAGCAAAGCGTAGCTTTTCTCTCGGTGCTCGCTGCAAAAGTAGAGCAATGTTCTACTTTTGAAGCTGAGGCGGAGGCGTCAGCCAATCAAATCCCGCGTATGCACATCTGCCAGTACAAGCGCTAGCCAATCAAACCGCGTGTATGCTGAGAGAGCCAGACCGCAGTTCATTTCCTCATATGCCAAAAAATGGAGGAGAAAATCATCGTAGCGGTAGGGAATCACCCGGTGCTTTCAGTCCCTGTTCACCTACCGGGATACAAACTGGAGGAGCCAGGCATGGAGGGAGGTGGCAGAGACAGTGGGTGAAACTGCTAGGTTTTCGCCTGTTTGGGGAGTTTGTCCTTCGTTTGAATGGACAGCAGGCATAGACAGTATATTTAGCCACCATGCAATGTTGCATAAAATAGCAGCATAGACATTAATTAAAAATCGCTTTTTAGACATTAATGTCTGGTGAGATTCATACACGGGAGCCTTTTTAAAGCCTTTTTACCCCGCTGCAAACAGAAACCCCCCCCCTTCCCATCACAAACTTTACACAGACCCCCCCTTCCAATTATCAACTCCTGTCTTGTTTCTGCAAACTCTTGTGTCCTGCAGCAGCTAAAAGTTTTGCAAGCCCCCGTTCGTTTAGTACCTAAAATAATAGACATCGCTTTTTCCAGCTGACAAACCCGACTTTCTGGTCACTTCTTCAATTTTCCAGCCCTTGGGGAGAGACACGGGAGATTCATGTGATTGGTTGTTGGTCGCGTTGCTCGCGTAAACTCCCCAAGCTCAAGACACGCCCACCGCCAAGCGGCAACGCACGCCGCCGTGTGTAGGCTGCGTAACCCCTAGATTCCACCGGGTCCGTCTGCGGCGCGTTACGGGCGCATTATGGGCGCGTTACGGGCGCGTTACGGGCGCGTTACGGGCGCGTTACGGGCGCGTTACGGGCGCGTTACGGCGGCGCCGCGGTGCTCACGGCGATCGCGGCGATCGCGGCCACTCTAGTCAATGGGTGCTATTCCACCACACGCGGCGCGTTACGGCCCAGAAGCGTCCCAGAAGCGTCCCAGAAGCGGCTCGGCGCAGGGCTCCTCTAAAATTAGGATGAATCCTATTTTTGTCGCGGCGCAGCCGTAACGTAAGGTCGGGCAGGCAGGAAGTGGAACTTTCAGAGCATATATAGCATATATATATAGATATATACACACACACAAACTAATTTTGCAGACCCTATCCCTCCGTAGTCTTTCAAGTAGGAGGAGAAATGCCAGCGTTCTCCTCCGGTTTACAGGCACTGTGTAAATTATATATAGAATAATTATGATGATGAATGCATTTTTTTTACCACTAAAATACAGCAACACATCTTTGATTCATGTCGTTTATAACTGGAATATTACAGTTATTATTAACTTTGTCTGTACAAAGTAGCCTGTCCAGGAAATATGCCCAAATCAACAAAAACTGCGAGCCGGCAGGCAAGACTCTCCGCTTCTGAAATGCTTCTGAAACGCGCCTGGTAGGGTATGACGCCGGAGGAGGCCGGACCAAAACCGCGGCGCAGCGCAGACGGACCTCTAGATTCCACCGGGTTTTGGTCCGGCCTCCTCCGGCGTCATACCCTACCAGGCGCGTTTCAGAAGCATTTCAGAAGCGGAGCGTCTTGCCTGCCGGCTCGCAGTTTTTGTTGATTTGGGCATATTTCCTGGACAGGCTACTTTGTACAGACAAAGTTAATAATAACTGTAATATTCCAGTTATAAACGACATGAATCAAAGATGTGTTGCTGTATTTTAGTGGTAAAAAAAATGCATTCATCATCATAATTATTCTATATATAATTTACACAGTGCCTGTAAACCGGAGGAGAACGCTGGCATTTCTCCTCCTACTTGAAAGACTACGGAGGGATAGGGTCTGCAAAATTAGTTTGTGTGTGTGTATATATATAGGTCTATATAGCTCTGAACGTTCCACTTCCTGCCTGCCCGACCTTACGTTACGGCTGCGCCGCGACAAAAATAGGATTCGATCCTAATTTTAGAAAAGCCCTGCGCCGAGCCGCTTCTGGGACGCGTCTGAGCCGTAACGCGCCGCGTGTGGTGGAATAGCACCCATTGACTAGAGTGGCCGCGATCACCTTGAGCACCGCAGCGCAGCCGTAACGCGTCCGTAACGCGTCCGTAACGCGCCGCAGACGGACCCGGTGGAATCTAGGGGTAAGAACAGCTGTGAGGTCCGTGCAGAAAGCAGAGCAGTGTGTAAAATATATATCACTCAGTATAACAGGCCTACTCTCTTTATTTGCTTTAGTTTAGTAGATATCTACAAACAAAGTCGATATTTTTCTAAAACCATTTAGTGCTTCACATAATAAAATACACAACGGCTGTAGCCTGATTATGCTTTAGGAGCTGTAGGTGCGTGTGTGTAGTGTAGGTGTGTGTGGTACAGTGTGTGCGTAGATGCAGCGGACAGACAGGTCTCAGTTGGTTTGGTGTCCTCTGCTTACTTGTAATACTTGTAAATAAAACTTTTGGCCCGTCATTTATTTTCCTCATTGTAGCGACCAGAGAGGGGAGAGGGGGGGGGGATATATCCAGTCTCTGATAGTGTTACGTTATTATGAGAGTGCTCTGTTTGATTCTGAAATTGTATATATTTATATAAATATATACATATGTATGTGTGTGTGTCTGTGTGTATGTCCGCATCTGTAGCCTGTTATTGTCTCATTATACCGCACTGTGAATGAATTAAAAGTAAATATATAAGTCGTCATGAACACATCTGTCCATCAGATAGGGCTGCTGTGCCTCCTGTCATCATTAATGGACGTCTCTTTAAAATGACCCCTCAGAGGAGAGGAGTTCTCATTTCTCTAACCGCCTGCTGCTTCCCCTCCTTTCTCCTCGGCTCCCCTCCTCGACTCCTCCGCTCGCATATCCTGTGGGCGGGACTAAGTCTCGAGGATAGGAGTCGAGGAGGGGAGTCGAGGAGGGACATTTGATGAAATGAGAACGGGCCCTTGTGTCTTCTCTTATCCTTCTTCCTGTGTTTGCCTTCCTGTCGTTAGTTTCCCTGGTGTGTCTGATTGTCTGATTGTGTTCACCTGTTGCCCTTGTGTTTCTGCCTCCCTTACCCCAGCTGTGTCTTGTCTTGTGATTACCCCTCTCTGTATTTAGTATTGTCTTCCCCTGTGTGCCTTGTCGGTTCATTGTTGGTTTTTCCTGTCTCCCTCCATGTTGGTCACGATCGTTTTTTCCCATGTTATCCATGCCATGCTTTTTTGCTCATCAGCTTTGTAAATAAAGCTCATTTTTGTTCTAGACCTGTTACCTCTTTTTGTAGTCTGCAGTTGGGTCCTACCTTTTCCACGCTACCTAACACAATTGACATTGATTGAAAGCAATAAAGAGCAGTGAAAGACACAACAAAACCCAAAAATATTACTTTACGTTACTATTTTATTGGCGGGGCTTATTCATTGGTGAGGCTGTAGTTTGAAATGAGAAAAAAACGATGAATATTAAGGAAATAAAAAACTAAGGGCATTTCTAAGGCAAATCAAAACTAAAGTGGTATTTTGTTGATGGAAAAAGATTTTTGGCTGATGATGTGCATTCCTACCAGAATGAGGAGGCAGTAGGAGGAGAAGTCCTGATGAGCCGGGATGGTGGAGAACACAGAGAGGACCAGGCAGCTGAACACCAGCACAAACCTAAACAGAACAACAGAAACACGTCAATACAACATACGCACAAAACTGTGATGACATCAATGGCCTGACCTCTGAAACAACCACAATGATCATCAGATGAAATCCAAAATGTACCAAACATAATTTCCACTGGTCACAAATGTGCTGTTGATCACAGAAATGTGCGCTGAGGTGGAATTGTCCGCTTTATTTTCCCCTGTGACAGACTCTTGAACCCATTCTGGCACTGAGGGACGAGCAGAACACGAACAACCTGGCAGCACAATCACAGAACCTATTTCCTCTCCGCAGTGAACCGTGAGGCCGGCCATTATTCAATTTCCTGAGATATCAAGTTAATCATGCTTGTTTGTGTAACATGATTTGCAAGAAACAAGCACTTAAACTGCGGCTATTGGAAAACAAGCAACATCCGACCATTTCCACACTCCGACTGTCGCTCCCTCCGCCAGGAACCCGTAGCCTGCCATCTCCGTAACCATAACATTTTTTTTTCCATCGCGTAGATCTTCCAAAAACACATCGTTGTCTGAAATAGGAGCGAGGGGTTTAGAGTTACGGGGGCTGTTGATGCTAAACAGTGAAAGCACATCTGTGTTTTATCATCCTGGATCTCCTCTTGAGCATGCTGGTTGACAAGCTCTGTGCGTATTTCTCTTTCAAGGAGAGGCTTCAGTAGATCACACATTGGCTTGTATAAGCAGTCATGTCCTACTTCATGTTTGTCCAGTAGCATACAAATAATTGTAATTGTCGCCTTTTTGCTAAGCATTAACCTTTTTGCGTCTAAATATGTGGAGAACTTTCACTTTCAGGCAACTGGTGTTTCGCCAGTATGGACAGAAAGAACTGTAAGTGCAACTCCAGTCATTTGGGGGGGGAAGACCTTGCCTAATGGTTCTACAAACCAGAGTCGAACCTACGTACCTGGCACAGGGACCACATATTGGGGTTTTTTTGGGCCAAAAGTTCCTTTATTGAAGAGACAGAGTTAAATCTGGAGAAGGAGGGGTGGATCCTGTAAATGATGGCTGAACCCCGGTCCTCTGCAAGAGTCCCAGTGAATGGGCTGCAACTGGACACAATGGATAGATGATGCACTCTCAAATGAGACATACTTTGCCATTACTGCTGCCCAAATAAAACAGATTGTAACCTTGAATAAAATTACGGATGATATTTGGGATAATCTGAGTTCACAACGCCACAACATATATCATAAGAATGTTGTCGTTTGCGGGCATTTTATTACTGAAATGTTAAATATTATACCTTTATGTTGATATAGTGAACTTGCAATATTTGGTAATCGTACTTCTGTCAAGTCTGTCAAGTATTCATATTCACTCTCTTTTAGCTACATTTTTGGTCTCCAACACCTCCTGTGGATGATCTGCCTCTTTAGCTGCTAAATGCTCTACTATGTTCACCAGCTAGCAGCTAGCTCGATCAAAGAGTTTGAAAGAAGTCTTTAACCTGTTAAGCCCTGAGCCTGTTTTTCAGGTCTCAGGCTCGAAAATGACATTCCCAGAACAAATGACCATATCTTCCATTCTAAAAGGGTTAAATTAATAATCTTTATTCTCAAAGTAATGATAAACCTGTGAGTTGGATGTAGAAAAGTCAGAATCAATATAGATGTTTTTTATTTTAAAGAAAATTCAGATTTTACATAGTAAAAAACTGTAAATTATAGTGTCCGTCCAAAAATTATTTTTTACAGATAGTGAAAACTACCCTTGGATGATGGGTTAGTAGACTAAAAGCTTTAGGAATCCAAAGTACAACATATAATAAGTACCCTGTATCAAGATTGATGCAAAACAAGTGAAATTTGACCTTTTTAGAGAGATTTAGCCAAAAAACCCCACTTCTGGGGTCATTTGGGTGGATTTGACCTATCTCTGGCCCCCCTTGCTCAATTTTGATGAATGAAATCTCTTTATAACCGCTAGAGCCAATGGAATCGAGGGAAAGTTCTATACACACCAAAACGTTAACAAATAAGGAGTGAGAGTGACGCGTTACCAAAACCGGAAGCTGCATACACTCTGGTGGCTACCATTAGGAGCTAACTTTTCCGCTCCGATTTTTACATAAAAAATGGAATTATGGATTATAAATAATTTTTTCAAAGGCACAGGTACATTATCAACCTATGGATCAACAGTTGTAGCCTTTTTTTTTCGTTTTAATGCCATTGAACACGTCTTTTGACCTAATTGACAGCTACGGTGAGACGATCTGCCGTAAAAGCTCCGTAAAGGTACGTGTTGTGATGTCTGTGTTTGCTTCCCCTGTCGCAAGTTCGGATCGCTCAGTGATGATACCATACCTAAATAATCTGTGGAGTCTCAGCTTTAATCGGCTATATTGTATGTGCAGCTACGATAAGTAATAAGGGTATTTTTATCTTGAATTGTGTGCCGCAGTGCGTTAGAATTTTTTCGCTCAGGGGTCATTTAGACCCTTCTTATGAGACTTGTGTTTTGTTTTGGTAAAAATGGTTCATATCTTGTTAGCTGAGATTCTTCCCGTTAATCTGGTGCTACACATTAATAGTTTCATAAATGTTAAGAAGCCCTGAGACATTATCTCGAAAAAAAAAAACGGTGGGAGGGGTCCAATGGGGGGATCGCCGTGCTTAAGAGGTTAAAGCCTGAACAAAGGGCCCAATCAGGATTACATTCTGTGTTTGAAAGGGGCATGTGTGGAAATGGTGGGTGTGCAGAAGGGGACAGTGTTCCATAGCTTGCAATACAATACAGGACTGTGTTTACATGACCCCATATGGGCCCTATTTATCATCCAGAGAGGTCAGAGGTCGACATTTTATATGATTATATCATTTTCCTAGGCCCGTAGATTCTCATCTTGCTCTGTGAAAGTGAAATAAAAGCAAGTATCAAAAATGTGAGGTTTGCTCTGTTGACATTTCGAAAAATGTGATTAACTGTACTTTGATTTGAGGAAAACATCTAGTGACAAGCATTGTGGCGCTGTCATGGGAAAAGCAAGCTCCTTGTCACCGGTACACCTACGCCTCACACACTTACAAGGTTGTCAGAGCGAAAATTACACAGTGACAATCATCCATAGCCAAACTTGCGGTTCCAGTCTGAATATATTTACTTGTAAAGGGGATAGAGAATGAGTGAAAAGCACCCTGACAGCATCATTAAGCTCTCAACGAAGTTCACTAATGAATCCTACAAACTACCGTTCTCAGCTGGCCTCTGTGTGTCACAATGCCCGGATATCACAGGCGGCTCGATTCATCTGGAGTGTCGCTCAGCACTTCCAGCAGAGTGTTCGCTCTTAACCTTCCAAACAGCCACTGCTGTACATGAAAATTGCTTATATATTCACACCAGCGCAATAGCATAGAGACGTCTGTCCATCCACCCACTCACACAGTCACCTCTTTCAAATGCGTCCTGCATTCACATACAAACAGAAAGAGAGGAGTGGGAAGTGGTGCTCTCATTTACATAATTTAATGGGTTGTTAGACTAATGGCAAACCCTGCAGCAGTGTTTTATAGCCTATTGTACGTCATCATTTCAAATTCAATGGTGGATAAAAACAGTCACGGGGTGTCGCAAGGTGAATAGAAGAGTAATATTATTACATGTTCCAAGTATACCAATATTCCAAGTTTGATTATTTAAAATTCAATTCCTATACCGGCTGCTTTTGTTACAATGATCTATGATCTACATTGTCAGTGACCTGTAGACCCACCTGCTGACGGTGTTTCTCAGTGTAACCATCACTCTGACGATCATCAAAAACTACTGTTTGTGTGTTAGTTTGGTATTTAAAAGGGGCTCTATCGTGCTTTGTCGGGATTTTCCTTTCCTTTATGTTTATGTGCAAGTAAATGGTCTGCAAAGGCTACAATTCTGGGGGGAGTGTGTTGCCATTGGACTCCTTTGTTTACTTCCGTAACATAGTGACATCACTATGTAACACTCAGCTTTTATTGTCTAGCGCTCCAACGCATTGTACGTGATAGGGGCGGGACATTTGCGACACATCTTTAAGTGGTTGACCAATCACAAGAGAGCCAGCTAACAATTCAGAGCAGACTGGGCTCTGGTTTCAGACAGAGGGTGAAAAGAGGTGCTGCAGCACAGGCAGTATGAGACAAATAAAGACCTTTTTGAACATTAAGCATGGAGACATGTCCCAGTAGAGACACTACATACTGATGTGAACCTGAAAGTGAGCAGAATAGGGCCCCTTTAATAGAGTAATGATGATGTAATAATCTGATTGGGTTTCTTCATGTCAGGTGTAACAGAAGAAGCTCTGTATTTGTCCCGATGCTGTCCACGGTCCTGAAGATACATTCTCTGTTGGTTGTTGATATTCAATTATGTATAACATTAGTCTATTTCCCTCCTTTATGGGGACTGTGACCAGAGACTCGCCCCCCCCCCCCCCCCCCCCCTCCCCCTCTTTTGAGGTCATGCTGTCACATTCCTCCACACAGCCAGCCATGCATCCATCTATCAAAGCACTCTTTACATCAGGCCTGACAGCGTTCCAACATTGGCGGCCCTGTGAGTGTACTCAGCACATTTCAAAGGCTTACATGGTGGAGGAGTAGATTTAAGAGCCGTGTCACACACTGTTAGCTTATCACTTGTTTAAATACTTCATTTACATTCCCGGTCCTCGCACCACTTCAGCACAGTCGCACACATAGGCACAAACAGTACATCTGCAAGACAGCGTGTGTTCCGCTGACAGTGAGCCTGTAAAGATCAGAGGGACACTGCCATGTCACCGAAGACGACCGAACAATTTCCATAATACACCGTGCTCTTTCAAAGGCTGAGCCAGGGATGCACAGTGGATCTTTTTTCTAAGCTGTTGCAGGCGTATTGTGTTTCTCCCTTCCCTATTACGCTGATGTTGTGCAGTCTGCAAGAGGCACTGAAAGAAGAAGCAGGATGTGTTTTGGAGATTAGACGTGAAAATGAACGCGCAAA